CAGTTGCATCAGACTGTAATACTGCGTCGCGGCTTATCGTTCGTTATCGGTTACATCAGATTGTAACTAGTAGTTAGGCCTACCCTAGTTACACATATATATATATATATATATATATATATATATATATATATATATATATATATATATATATATATATATATATATATATATATATATTTATATATATATATAATATATATTATATTATGATTATGTGTATAAATATGTTTAGTGCACTTTGTTGCTGTTGAACGTATGTTTTAAATCCCCCCTTATCAAGGCCATATTTATCAGGCTTGGCCCAATGCCCCATTGAACCACTTTTGAAAAAAATTTATTTACTTCCTATCGCTGAATCATGGTCCTATCGCCCTCCCCCCCCCCCCCCCCCCCCACGGCGCTGTAAATCACCTGCTATTTTCGTGTAATCAGTGTACAACCATATCTGTTACTGCAGGTCATTTGTTATTAGGACTGTTGGTTGGGGGGGGGGGGTTAAGCCTTCTCTGGTGTATAGTCTGAACTGGAGAGCAGTAAAGGAAAAACAATATGAATTCGACACTCAGCTAGGTAGATAATCCGTTTACTGGTCAGTCAGTAGCTCCCACGGAGAGTTGGTCATTTGCAGTAGCGTAGCGAGGGGGGGGGGGGGCGGGGGGGGGGACATATGTCACCGGGCGCCGAGCTTAGGGGGCGCCAAAATGGGTTGGAAAAATAAATTGAAAGGTTGAGGGGGGTGGAAATTGAAAGTTTGAGGGGGGGTGCAAATCAAAATCTCGAGTTGGGGGGGGGGGGGGGGATGCAAATCGAAATCTCGAGGGGGGGGGGGTGCAAATCGAAAGTTTGAGGGGGGTGCAAATCGAAATCTCGAGGGGGGGGGGTGCAAATCGAAAAGTTTGTCCACGGGCGCCGGGAAGGGTCGCTACGCCTCTGGTCATTTGTGTGGACACGTTCTTTCATATTCACGTGTCATTTAAGTTATGTCCGCAGTCCACATCCTAAACAAAATTATAAAACAGAATTTAACCCCAGTGAACATATTTATTTAAAAAAAAAGTATGTCGAATACATAAACAAAGTCCTCTCAACACTCCCATTCCCCTTAAAACATCAATTCCTCTCATTCCCTTAAACATATCCAGTCAAACACTTACTCCCCTTAAAACATCAAGTCCTCTCAACACTTCCATTCCCCCTAACACACCCTGTCCTCTCAATATATTCATCCCCTTAAAACATTAATTCCTTTAACACTCTTATAAAATGTTCGATTGTGGTGTCTTATATTTATCTAACCATGAGCTACCTGTTCACTGCTATCAGAGAGGCTAAGGTGAAACTCTCGGATCAATACTGTGAGCCCCCTCTGAACATTCCGGACTCGAGACTGTAGGGCGCCCTTGAGTCCACCCAGCTCTAATGGGTACCTGTCTCACGTTAGGGAAAGTAAAGGCTGCTGGGCATAGTGCTGACCACACAACCCCTTGATTGGCCGTGGCCAAGAAACAAGAACTCTACTTCATCTGCTCTATGGATGATCTGCTCTATGGATGATCAGGTTCGAAAGGGGAGCTTTACTTTACTTACTCAGAACATAAAGATAGTTGCGGTGGTGTCCTTCATGACCCAACCATAACCCACCATTGGGTAGTTCCGGTCTGACGTTGAATAGCCGGCTCACCATCATCTATTTAAAGCTGGTTAATTTTAGCCAATCGTTTTGCGGAGTCGTCACTTTTAAAATGTATGTATGTGTATTTAAACATTATAACAAAATAACCCAAAGTTTAGTTTTCCTACAAGCTATTTAAGTATGGAACACACATCCTGCAACTTTTATAAACAGGATTCTTTAGTTCTTTTTTCGCCCCAAATCAAATTTAGTTGTATCAAAAGCTGCACACAAAAGGGATGTTTATCAGCCTGCCTGTTCCTACTGTTTACTGTTTCCTACTTTAAATAGATAAAAATAAAGTTTTAACAGCAATTTGTACGTTTTTTTTTCTATCTGGTGGATTACGATTTCAATTTAAAAACTTTAATTAACAAAACCGATACTTTACCACCCACACCATACCCACTCCAGTGATTAGCAGACGACAGACACTAAGTATCGTCTGCTGACCTGGACTGTGGCATGTCGAACCATGCCTCCCTCAACCCACTTGAAAAATAAATGTTTTTTTTCCGAAGTGATTAATATTTCCTGTGCAAGCCCGCCGATTTACTTCCGTGCTCCGATATTTGAGGGGTACTGTCTTGATTTATCAATAATCTTGCTGCAAATATTGTTTCGTTACTGTAAGTGTGGAAGATTTTTAAATTGCCAAATCTAAAAGTGCGTGACAGTGGTGGTGTACAAAAAATGTCCTCGGTTCTTCTGTGATAACACTAATTAACACGGTAAGGAATAAAATTACATTTTGGGTTTGTTATTTATTTTATTACATTTCAATTCTAGATTTAGTAGAATCTAGATCTATGTCCGTGCTTGGTGTTAGATCTAGGTCAAGCTCAGGGCTAAGCTCATTAAATTTTACTCAAGAGGCGTCGGAAATTATCCGGTAATGTTTGTTGAGTTTCGTAAATTCTTAGCTTAGCAAAATCGAGGTTTTTGTTTTGAAAATGTGTTGTAGAGTTAAAGTCCTGGCTTAAATTGAAGGCTATGAACGTGTAAGTCGACACTCTACACTTTTTACTCCTCAGTTAAACAGTTAGAATTATAGTCTTAGACTCTACACCCCCACCCCCCACCACATGCTGATACTCTGAAAGCTGATAAGTTACAAAACAATCTAAGAGCCAAGTACAAGTAGACCAAGAGCCCCAGAACAATACATACAAACAACACTACTTGGCTACTTGGTCTACAGACCTGATCAATTACAACCTTACTCCATACCCCTGATGATCAGGTACAATCCTAATTACTTAACAAGTGAAGTCTACACCCCTGATTCCTTAGGGCGCCTTAGGCTGACAGACCTCTTGGTTTACACTCTACACCCCTGATTAATTAGGCCTACAGCCCTCTTGGTCTGCACTCTACACTCTACACTCCTACTTAATTTGGCCTACAGTCCTCTTGGCCTACACTCTACACCCCTGCTTAATTAGGCCTACAGCCCTCTTGGTCTACACTCTACACCCCTGATTAATTAGGCCTACAGCCCTCTTGGTCTACACTACACCCCTGATTAATTAGACCTACAGCCCTCTTGGTCTACACTCTACACCCCTGATTAATTAGGCTTACAGCCCTCTTGGTCTACACTACACCCCTGATTAATTAGGCCTACAGCCCTCTTGGTCTACACTCTACACCCCTGATTAATTAGGCCTACAGCCCTCTTGGTCTACACTCTACACCCCTGATTAATTAGGCCTACAGCCCTCTTGGTCTACACTACACCCCTGATTAATTAGACCTACAGCCCTCTTGGTCTACACTCTACACCCCTGATTAATTAGGCTTACAGCCCTCTTGGTCTACACTACACCCCTGATTAATTAGGCCTACAGCCCTCTTGGTCTACACTACACCCCTGATTAATTAGGCTGGCAGCCCTCTTGGTCTACACTCTACACCCCTGATTAATTAGGCCTACAGCTATCTTGGTCTACACTCTACACCCCTGATATGTTAATCTGTTTTTGGCCTACACCCCTAGTCTCTCAATACACCCTACTTGACCTACACCCCTAGTCTCTTAATAAACCCTACTTGGCCTACACCCCTAGTCTCTTAATAAACCCTACTTGGCCAATACCCCTAGTCTGTTAAACCCTACTTGGCCTACACCCCTAGTTGGCCTACACCCCTAGTCTCTTAATAAACCCTACTTGGCCTACACCCCTAGTCTGTTAAACCCTACTTGGCCTACACCCCTAGTCTCTTAATAAACCCTACTTGGCCAATACCCCTAGTCTGTTAAACCCTACTTGGCCTACACCCCTAGTTGGTTAAACCCTAGTTGGCCTACACCCCTAGTCTGTTAAACCCTACTTGGCCTACACCCCTAGTCTTAAACCCTACTTGGCCTACACCCCTAGTCTCTTAATAAACCCTACTTGGCCAACACCCCTAGTCTGTTAAACCCTACTTGGCCTACACCCCTAGTCTGTTAAACCTTACTTGGCCAACACCCCTAGTCTGTTAAACCCTACTTGACCTACACCCCTAGTCTGTTAAACCTTACTTGGCCTACACCCCTAGTCTGTTAAACCTTACTTGGCCAACACCCCTAGTCTGTTAAACCCTACTTGACCTACACCCCTAGTCTGTTAAACCTTACTTGGCCAACACCCCTAGTATGTTAAACCTTACTTGGTCTACACTAAAGTTAAGCTCCACTGTTTTACAGGTATACCCTGTACAATACATATTTTTAAAATTGTTTAACAGTTAAAGCTTAGGCTTAATTTAGCCAAAAACACTTTAGTATTAATCAAAGGTTTAGGTTGGTTATAATATTTTAAATATTTCAATTAAACAAGGATATAGATTGGTCCAAATTAACTAATTAAGACTACTGAACTGTCTATTATACTTCCTGTTTAATCAAAGGAGTAATTATTTGTCTCTGGTATTGGTGTTACTAAAAAAAGACTGAATTAAGTACCCCTGAATGATAATAAGATTGCACAGACTTGGATTTGGGGGTCAGGCTAACCTACCTATACCTCTTAATTCAAGCATGCACATAAACCTATATGTGGCAGGCAGTTTATCGTTGTTGAGTTTACTAGCTGTAAAACTATCAGTTGTAGGCCTATAAAATTAAAAACAAATTATCAAGAAAACTATTCTTGATGTGTCAACACTCTGGCCCCCCCCCCCCCCTCTCCTCCCTTCACATTACGACATGTGCTGTTTAGGTATGCCCCAGTGACTCCTTCATTGACCTCGTGGGCTGTTGTAAAGGGACCGTTATCACCTGGTTAAGGTGTAGCTACATCCTTTACACACCTCCTGTGTAGCTACATTTTTTACACACCTCATAGTAAAGGTGTAGCTACATCCTTTACACAGCTTCTAGTAAAGGTGTAGCTACATCCTTTACACTACTTGATATTAAAACTGGTCGCCACTTACACAATAGCAGTGTTCCACTTTTTCTGTCTGTAGGTAGGTCAAGTATACTCAAGTAGTGACTTTTTCTTAGCCTAATTTTCACAAGAAAACCTCTTACCTCTTGTTTAATTTAATGACATTTAGAAGGCATAAATACTTAGCACTATACAATTACAGTTCTGTTCTATCTTTACCAAACACTTGTTGAAATTTCAGATTTTTTGTTGTTATATAATTAGTTTCTCTTAATCAGTTTGGTTATTTGTTTGTTTAGATTTTATTTATGATTCAATTTGTTGTTATAACACAATATTCATTAACATGAACCTTCTATGAAGGAAGCTAGTCTACCACTATACTTTCTTATTTTAGTCCCAAAGCTGTTCTAATTGGGGCATGTCTGTCATAAATCATAAACAGGAAGCCAGGACTTTCATAACAATCTTTAAACAATCAACTGAACTATTTTTACTCTTTTATTTCAGGTTATTCAACTGTAAAAGTAACAATCACCAGGTACTGAGTCTAAATTTGTAACAAGGATTTTTTTTATTACCTGTTGTCACATTGGCTATTAGTAACATTGGATCAGAATAGTAAAAATGGAACTGTAGACAAAAATCAATTAAAATTTATTTCTTTAAGGTGCGGAAGTAATAGTAGTCAAGATTAGCGCTGCTGTGTTTGTGTCATTTTTTTTTTCTAAGTGAAGCTAGATAAATGATGACCCAGAATTATAGAGAAGAAATTTCCGTTGTGGAGTCTGAAAGCCAAGACTCCCAGGATGGGTGGAACCCGCTAGATGTTGATGACATCATCAGAGTTATGTCCCAGTCTGGGGGCGCTCTTGTGAATGATTACGAGAACGAGGCAGACTTGTTAAAAAATCTGCAAATATCTGGCGAGGACTTCAATGAGATATTTGGGAGTTCACAAAACAGCGACAGCTACCAGGATGATAAACTGACTAGAGAAGAAAGCAATGTATTGATCGGCAAGCAGAAGGCGCAACAAAATGAGTTTCTGTTGAAGCAGGCATCTGATGCTGAGCTTGACGACATCACGTCGGTCATCAACGCAGACTCAGAGTATACAAGCCAGAAAGGGAAAGCAGTAACACAGAATGAAAGAAATCAAAATTCTGAAATTTCTTCCGATGTAAGCACTGGTGAACTGTCTAAAAAAAATCTGTACCTGAAGGAGTCAAATGGTCATGTAACAATGCTAGAAGATTTGACAAAAGGAACACATTTTAAAGAAATGAAAGGAGAGATAAATAACAATAATTTTGCATCGGAAGTACCAGTGCAGAATGGCAGTCAAGATCAGTTTAAAGCAGCCCCAGGTTACGAATCAAAAGACATCCATCGCAGTGATTCAGTAGGGACTGCACATTCTTCTTGTCCATCCACTCCTGAAAAACCAGACAAAATCTTATCAGACTTGCCTGATGGTACGCCCCTGGATGATAACAGTGCGAGTTCACCAGACTACGACGTCTACTCACCAGACTACGACGTCTGCTCACCCACGTCTGCCATCAGTGAGATTGAAACAGATGGCCAGGAAATGTGTTTCTTGTCATACAATGAGAACGCTGATTCTCAAAGCTTTTATGAATATTTGGTGAGTAGACTTTTATTCTTCTAATATAATGAGAACACTGATTCTGAAGGCTTTTATCAATATTTGGTGAGTAGCTATTTATTCTTCTAATGTAATGAGAGCACTGATTCTGAAGGCTTTTATCAATATTTGGTGACTAGCTATTTATTCTTCTAATGTAATGAGAAAACTGATTCTCAGTTGTTAAGAACTTTTCCTGAATTGCTCATTCTTCTTTTACTTCATATAATTTATCAGAATTACACATCTTAGATGTTGTTTCAACGAGAAGAACCTTTTATTAAACCTTCAGGATCTTCTTACTGAATAAAGACATTCTATAAAATACTTTTTTTTTTACTGCAATGAATAGTGCGATGAAGACGAGCTAAGGGAGAAAGGGAAGAGAGGAAGACCAAAGTCACAAAAGCCTCCTAGACAGTCCCCTAAACCTATAGCACCAAAAACCCAGCTCTTGCGTATGGTGGATGCTGGACTGCTCACTCCCAACCCTAGTGCTATTGGTATCAGGAACCCACAAAGTAAGTGGAAAACTTGCCTGATAGTATTTAACATTAAAATTGACATAATGAAAGGGGTGGGCGTGGTTGAGTCAGTAAAGTCGGTAAAGCTCATGGTTGCTAAAAACATTTTTTTAAATAGAAATACCATCCAGCCTTCTCAACACAAATGTATAATGAAAGGGGTGGGCGTGGTTGAGTCAGTAAAGCTTAAGTCGGTAAAGCTCATGGTTGCTAAACCGAAAAGTCTCGAGTTCAACCCCTCGAGCAGATGAGGCTGTTTAGCTGGGACAGCCACTCTTCTAGGAGATATAACTCCAAAATCAAACAACTGCTACCTTGTAGATTGTTCTTGGTTGAACAAAGGCTATGCAAGCAAATCCAAAAAGAAAAGCGACTGAAATTGGAGTCAATGGCCTCAATGGTGCATAACCAGTTGACAAGTATACTTAATTGTGTTGGAGTGGATCCCTTCCAACACTAAAATTAAGAACAAAGAATAAGAAAACATAAAGAAACTTTTTACAATCCGTCTGTTTTATTTATCTTTAAAATAATAATCTATATTGATATAAACACCAAATAGTCGCAGATACATAATCCTTTAAATAGTCACTGTTTTTTTTTTTTTGGCCTTTTCACTTTGACAGTGAGCCTAGATATATATTAAATGATTAAAAGATAAAGCTAGGTCATTCCTTATGGTCTACAGTCCATTTCCTTCCTCTGAGATAAATAAGCGAAATTAAAACATTTTTTTAAATAGAAAGACCATCCAGCCTTCTCAACACAAATGTATAATACCTTGTTTTAACTTTTTGTTGTACAAAATTGATGTTTTTTTAAAAATACTATATTTCAAGTAATGTTTAAGGGTTTGTTTCAATTTGAAACTAGTTGAGGTATATTTAGTTGTTGAATGCATTTCATTTCTTTTTTCTCTCACTCTTTTCTACTAAATTAATTTGTTTTCAACGATGGAAACTCTCTGATGGTAAAGCAGTGATAATTCAATTTAGGCTAAAATTGTCCAAAAATGTTAGATATCAAAGGGACCCACACATTTATGTCTTAGTAACCTTTTGATTTCTGTCTTTCTGTCTTTGGTTGCTTAATATTTATGCTAATCTGAGTATTTGAAAAAACAAATTTCATTAAACAATTTTAAAATTAAAAATCCTAATTTATTTTTCAGCCCCACAATTATCACCCAACATTGTTGGGATGTCAACCGTGACACAAAGATTCCCAGTTGTGGTTATAAGCCAGAGTTCAACATCCACAACCTTGTCCATTCAAGTCGGTTCACCAGATCGTCCTTTCTCGTCCCCGTCTTCACAAACCACAGACACTCTCTTGACGTCACCAAATTATTCCACAAGGGAGAGGCCTGACTCAGCTGGTAAAGCTAATGACAAGTCCCCATGTCAGAGTGACAGTGGCGCCTCACAAGATAATCACAGCCCAAAGGGATGTGGATCCACCTCAACTCAGCGCCAGAGTTCCCTAGACATTGATGGGCCGCCTTGCTCCCATTTTAACCATGGGATGGCTAGTTTTTTTAACGGCCAACAGATTTATGGGTTAAATGACTGCTCAGTTCAAGGTGCATCTCCGCAGCTGTTTGATGCATCTGGACAACAATTTGGTGCACATGGGCAACAATTCGGTGCACCTGGGCAACAATTTGATGCTCAAGGACAACAGTTTGGTGCACCATTTCAACAATTTGGTGCATATGGTCAACATTTTGGTGCACATGGACAACAGTTTGGTGCACATGGTCAACAGTTTGGTGCACATGGACAACAGTTTGGTGCACCAAGCCAACAAATAGGTGGGCCATATCCCGGTCAGACTGGTCGGAATTTTCCAGCATCCCCATCCATGCAAGCTGTGCATAGACATCCCTACCAACACCCCATGCACCCCCCAGGGGCGTGTAGCATAACTCCTCAAAGATACCCAACACCGTATCTTTACCCCACTCCCTCTAATACAGCTCCAGGGCCTGAATATAATTTTCCAAGCAGAGGTTTTAAGAACCCAGAGGCTCACAGGCCTAAGCCATACCAAATGGTTCCATCAGCTTCAGTTGGGCACCAACCTGTGAAAAAGAATCCCCCTCAGCAACCTACACCGACACCTCATGTTTTTCCTCAAGATCCCAACCAACCAATGCCTCAGTTCCATCAAGAAGAAGTGCAACCTTATGCTAGACAGAACAGGAACATTCGTAGGACAGCTGCTCATTTGTTCCAGCCTGACTTGTTGCCGCCCCATCAGGTTTCTGGTTACCAGCTTCCCCATCTCCAACACCAAACAACTAACAAAGGGCCAGAGCTACCTCTCCCCAAGGAGAGCGTCTCAGAAAGACTCAAAGACTGGCTGATTGGTTGTCACTTGCAGTTAAACCCACCTGACTCCGGCACCTTCCACCCTGATAATCACAGCATTGTGTTAGATCAAGATTACCCACCTAGTTCCATTGACTTCACAGAAAATTACAATCCAGTCGAGAGTTTACCCGCTGTACAATCCCAAAAGCCAGAAAATGTGTTGCCAGAGAGTAGGTCAACTGGGGTCAGTCATAGGCGGCCTGATCGGGTGGTTGATGTGTATGACACAAGAAATCAACCCAGTGGTGCTGGGTTCAACATTTCATGTGCCCAAGCCCCCGTAGTCCCTGCTGTTAAGCCGAATATCGACCAAAGGGAAGTCGCAGACTCCATAATTGATGAGATGCTTCGTAAGAAGAAACAAAACAGCTTGGAGAACTTTTTAAAGGGGGAAGCCCCTTCTGTCACTGAGCCGTGTCCCAGTCTAGAAAAGTTGCTGACATCTACAAGTGAGTCTACCTCAATGATCTCAGATATAGAGTCTAAACCCCCCAGTTTTAATGTGGCAGTGTACATACAGCCACAAGACATGGACAGTCTAGAGAAGAAAAAAGAAGGGCAGACAAGTATTGATAACTATTTAGGTCCATCTGTGAGTCAGTTAAAGTCCTCTGCTTCCTCTCACTTGCATGGATCCAGCATCCAGGATGAAAAGCCTCTGAGAGAGTTGGAAGCTCGGGATATAGAAGGAGTTTTGGGCCCTGACTTTGGGAGTTATAGAGTAGGGCAGATAATGGAGAGGCAGGCGGGGGTACCACCATCACAGGTGCACCAGAGGTCCTCCCCCAGGCAACAACATCCTAGTGGGTTTCCTGTTGCACAGGTGCAGAATACAAATGCTGATGTGCAGTATGGTATGCAGCAGGTGTCCGCAACAAGTGTCAATGGCCGCCATCCTGCAAATGTCAATGGCCACCATCCTGCAAATGTCAATGGCCACCATCCTCCAAATGCCAATGGCCACCATCCTGCAAATGTCAATGGCCACCATCCCGCAAATGTCAATGGCCACCATTCTCCAAATGTCAATGGCCACCATCCTGCAAATGTCAATGGCCACCATCCTGCAAATGTCAATGGCCACCATCCTCCAAATGTCAATGGCCACCATCCTCCAAGTGTCAATGGCCACCACCCTCCAAGTGTCAATGGCCACCATTCTCCAAATGTCAATGGCCACCATCCTGCAAGTGTCAGTAGCAAAGGTTCCTATCATCAAAGGAAACTCGCCACGCCATCTCCCAGCAGCTCACCAAAATCAGCCGCACAATCTCCGCCCAATGTATCATTCCAACCTTCTGTCTCTGAGATGAGGTCACAGAGTCCAAGAGAGCCGGGGGTGCCACACATCTCTGGGAGAAGACAGCAGTACTGCCAGGAGTGGCTGAACCATTGCCCTGTGAAACCCACACCATCCTCGCAAGATTTTAAAACACCCGCAACCGGTGTGGCGTCCAGTATTTCTTCATACCAACCACCTACCTTGTCTAACTTGATGAGTGATGAGAATGGCGACTCCATGCGGTCAGATGCCAGCATGAGGAGTATACCACAAGGGAATCATTCTGCAGCTTACCCACAATCCTTCCCCAAACACCCACCTCAGCAGCAGCGAACGAGCAGTAGAGATCAGTTTGTTTCTGACTGGGTAGCAAAATGTGACAGTCAGCCAGAGTTACTCCCGGAAAGTTTAGATTCGCTTCCCTTTGATGATGAGCTCCATCAAAAAGTGTATGACATGTACGAAAGACCACCCATGCACCAAACAACTCATTTACCTTCTGGCGTAAACCAGGCAACCAGTAACACTTATATAAAGCACGCTGCACCACCAGCGGTTGGTGTTTCTTCCCCACAAGCTCAGAAATCAAATGCCATCAATGGATCTCATAATTGTCAAAGTACTTCTAATTCCCAAGACACCAAATATCCCGGGCATCAGCCTAACATGTTTACAAACAACACAGCACCCCAACCTAATTATACACAAATTCCTAACAACACCCTGACAGAAAAGAACTTAAACGTAGCCAGTTCCTTTCACCAAGCAACATCCCTCTGTAGCATGCCATCTCAAACTGCTGGAAATACTGAGAACCCTGGACACAGTTCGCTAGATGAGCTGTTTCAGTCATTTTCACCTGATGACTTTGTTTGCCTGCCTGAGAATTCTCTCATCACACGCAGCCCCATGAGCAACGCTGCCGAGGCTCAAAGCAGGAGAACTCAGGACAGCAACAGCATGGTTATCTCTTTGGGAAGTGAGTCGGAGCCGCTGAGTTTTGAACCAGATGAAGACGGTGAAACGTGAGTACAAGCTTCTAGCACTTGTCCATGTTTTATTTTCTATGCAATTTTAAAAAAAAATATTTAAAACCTAGTTAACAAATAAATAAAGGTTTGAAAACCGATCATTATTTGCTATTTAAATTTTTTTTTTAATAAGCAAATTGGTTGATACAGCAATTGAACAATTTTTTTATCATGTTATAATTGCATTTTAATTGTTATTTTTCAAACAAAATATGTTTGGCTCAGTCTTTTTAAAATATAAATATGATAGAATAAATAAGCATCTAATAATTTTTGTATTTATAATATGAAATCTATATAACACCTAAGTAATTTAACCACCATGTAATTTGTCATTAGCCTAGCCAAAAGTGCTGATAATAAAAAAAATGGAAAAAAAAACAACCCTTCTTCAAAATTTCATCAAATTGAACTGTTTATTTAACTACAATCTTGTATTAGTTTTAGCTGAGATGTGAAATTTATTTTACAAAATTTTAACATAAATGTATTATTATGTTTTCAGTTTAGAGCATATGTAATTATTTTTATGTTGATTTTTGAAGGTGTTTGCATCTCCTTTGTGACATCCCAACCACAAGTGACAGAGAGAAACTGTCCCAGCATCCATCATTTCACAAGGTACTCAACTTACAGAACAATAATGGAGAAGTAAGTTTTCCTCTTTTTATCACTTAACATCTGCTTTTTTCTATAAATATTTTTTTTTAAATTTGTAATACAAAAATAAGATTTTTTAATAGCCTTAACTGTGATTGACATTAAACATACCAGAAACATTAATATTTCAAATAATAAAGTTTAAAACCTTAAGTTATTTTGTCATACTTTCTTTTCAAGTTCTAGCTTACCATTATTTTGTAAAGAAAAATATTCAAATGCTACTAATTAATAATTGTAATATTTTATTAAATAATTATTGTTTTTTTTTCCCCAGACTCCTTTATTTTTAGCAGTAAAAAATGGCCGCTCTGATGTTGCCAGATTTTTTATTTCGCATGGAGCAGACACTAACATCTACTGTTTAAGTCTGAAAAGCGTAAGTTGTATTAATGCTTGTTAAGTCAAACACTGTATGTTATATATTATTAAGTAAAACATTTGGTTAAAACAAGCATATTTTGTGCAAAAAAATTTAATAAAATATTGCTTATATTCCTATATCAATCCAGTTTGTTATCTATTATTTACACATTGCCTTTAGTTTTATTGAAAAAAAACAAAATTACATTGTTTTATATAGTAATTTTAATACAGTTTGCTTTAAAAAAAGGTTTCATAGTAAAATGTACTTCATGTTTTATTGTTTAGATATTCCTGCCTATTCTGATAAATAATTAAAAAAGGATTAAACATTTCTTCATATATCCTATGTTTTTACTTAGTATTTGTTATTTATCATTTAATTTAGTTTTAAGAAAATCTGCTAAAATAATTCATTATGTATTTTGTTTTGACAGAGGTTTCGAACTGAAAGTGTCCAGCATGTGGCCTTACATGAAGCAGTGGAGCTGGGGGACTTAGAGATGGTAAAGACACTTCTCACCTCAAACACAATCAATGTGGATGCCACGCGAGCTAATGCAGGTTAGTCTTTTATGTTGAAATCTGATTGATTGGTTGTCATGTCTACTAGGAATGTGCGAAGTTATATTGCATTGTTTTTTAATTACTGTTTTAGTTATTTTGTTTCTACTGTGTACATAAAAATTGTTCAATTCTACCCAAAATTTGGCTAAAAATGTATAAAATGGCCCATATAAATAGTGTTATAATGTTTAAAGTATTTTAAAGTTATTAATACAATTTCAAAAAGCATGTGAAAATGTGTTTTTACTACCGGTCCCCCCTTAAGTTAAAGTAAAAAGAAGTTATTTTAATAGTGATTACCAGATCTATAAAAGAATGAGGATTTTCAAAATTTGTTGCTTCCAGAAGAAAAAAAAATGATTAACAAAATGTTTACTTTTAAAATATTTTGATAAGCATTCTTAATACAGTAGTACCTTGATATGTGATTTTAATTAATTCTGTATTGCTATTATCTAAGAGCAGTTTTCTCCATTGAAATTAATTGAAATGCCATTAATCCGTTCCACCCCTCAAAGTGCTGTCCCATTGGTTTTTGTTTCGAGATTTTGTAACCAACCAACCTCGTTCCACTATAAATGTTAAGCTCTTTATGCCAGTTTTATTCACCTACTCTCTACACTGTTAATGCTAAACTCTTTAGGCAACTTTAATATAAATCTTATAATTATTTATAAATAATTAGAAAACCTTTATACTAAAAAAAAAGCAATACAATTAAAAAAAATGTCCTATTGCTTTGAAAGATGAATAGAATAAACTTGGATAAAAGAGGCAAATATAAAGATGGGGTAGAGAGTGAAAAAAAGTATATAACCACTATGTGTACATTTAATCGCCTTCTCAGGTCTGACTCCTCTAATGCTGGCCATGAACATACACAGCAAATCTTCTCGCAGGGACATCATCATCAGCCTGATAAATCGTGGTGCGTCCCTTGACAAGCAGGTAAGCAAACTTTGTATAACTATGTTTTCACCATATAGCTTAGATATTGGTTTTTTTTTTTTTGCTTTTTAAAAATTCATTTTGTAACCTTATAATTTAAATCTCCAGATTTCGCAATACATTGGAACCCCGTCTTATGAAAACTTTATAAATGTTCACTTAGCAGGTCTTCTATTGAGAAAAAAAGAAATAGAATAAAAAATCACTAGAACAATTATCCTGACAAATTTTTCTTTAGTTTAATTGACTGATTCTTAATTGATTCGTTTGTTCTGTATTTGGTTATATTTTTATCTCAATTTAATAATTATTTGTGATTCCCTCTATTTACACAAATATTGTTTATGAATACAATTTTTTTAAAATAATACATGAAGTGATTAATATCTTTGCAGAATAAAAAGTAAAAAAGAGCATTACATACCAATAACATTTTTTACATTAATAACCTACATCATAACCTCTTCTCTAATTACTATTTTGATGATGCAACAAATATATTAAAAAAAAACTAAAATTCAGACTTGGGCTTTTGTTTTTTCAGGAGACCATTCAGGGTAAAACCCCACTCATGTATGCCATTGAGTAAAAAAAAAGCATTACATACCAATAACATTTTTTACATTAATAACCTAAATCATAACCTCTTCTCTCATTACTATTTTAATGATGAAACAAATATATAAAAAAAAACTAAAATTCAGACCTCGGTTTTTGTTCTTGCAGGAGACCATTCAGGGTTAAACCCCACTCATGTATGCCATTGAGTAAAAAAGAGCATTACATACCAATAACATTTTTTACATTAATAACCTACATCATAACCTCTTCTCTCATTACTATTTTGATGATGAAACAAATAATTAAAAAAAAACCTAAAATTTAGACTTGGGCTTTTGTTCTTGCAGGAGGCCATTCAGGGTAAAACCCCACTGATGTATGCCATTGAGTCACGGGATGTCACGTTGGTTGAGGAGATTCTACGGACGGTCGGCGCAGAGAAGGCCAGAGCACTGGTCACTGCTGCTGCCAAAAATGGCAACACCTGTCTCCACTGGGCGGCTGGTCTAAGTTTAGCCAAGCAGGAGAAGCAGCGACTTCTCAGGTGTATTATTATAGCCGGGGGTAAGCAATGTGTACCTCTCTTTTACGCTGTGTGACCATTTGTGATTTTTACACTACACTATCTTATACTATCAGGGTATTCATATTTTGCTAGGTTGTAGTGTTGATTGAAAAAAGTTATAATGCTTTGCTCCACAAACAGTTAAAATTCAGTCACAAGTTAATAAATTAGATTTTTTTAGTATGCAGATAAGTAGGCCTATTATATGATATAAAAGTAAAGTAAATATATAATATATATATTATTATAATTATATATATATAATATATATATTATTATATAATATATAATAATATTATTATTATTATTATATAGGCCTATAATATAATATTTAATATGAAAAAATAAATAAAGATGTTATTTACCTGTCAGGTGATGCATCTGTTAAAAATGTTGAGGGTGAGACACCCAGAGACTGGGCCAGGCAAGATGTAAGTATACATTTTATTTTCTAACTTTTTTTAGTATTGCAATTAAGATTTTTATGTTTGTTTTTTTGTTAGAGTATTTTGTCCTTTATTCTTTTTATTATGATTACTTATATAAATTACTATAGGGCCTACTACAGAAAAAACAGGATAGTTTTTATTATATAAAAAGTCAATCTTGAACCATTAGACAGTTGTATTCATTTCTGTAATTTAATTTTTTTTTTCTCTTTCTGATATTATAAATATGTTTACCTAGTAAAGTAAAATGGCAGAAAAAACTGACAAAAATTTAAAAAATATATATTTACGCATCTTTTAGTAGGTAGTCCAAACTGAAATTAACTATTGATTGCAGACTTCTGGAATGAGTATGTCATGAAAGAACTTTTAATTGTAAGCTCTATGCCACAAATTTTATAAAAATATCTTAATAAATAAAAAAGTTATGCGATTTTTAAAAACGCAAAATTTGGTAAAAAACTGATTTTCAAAAAGTGCCATTTTTGAGAACCCATATTTTCTAAACTAAATAACATAGAAGTGTAGAAATTGGTAAAGTTACTGCAAAGTTTGTAATATATATGCCCAATTTTTTTCAGTCATCTAAAATGAGTCTTTCTAAGGTAAAAAAATAATTGAAAATGACAAAAATGCGTTTTGGTCACTTTTATTTTTATAATTTTTTTTTTTTTTTTTTTTTTTTTTTTTGCTTTGGACATAGAATAACTCTTAAAACTATTTTGTTGGTAACATTAACAGGAAGAATGTGCTCATTATTTTCAAAAATCACTTGAGTTAAAATATTATTTAAAAAAAATGCCACAGTTATCTAGAGCAGGAGAAACAGAATCAAAATTTAGTGGAGTAATGTAATGTAATCTTATAAAGACGTGATGCCTACAAGTAATGCAGCAGTTGCTGCTACATTCAAACCTATTGGGTTGATAACTGCTTTGGGGGAACAGTTTTTAAAATGACAACTCCACATCTTTGTATGTCTTGTTTCCCCCAACCTTGATCTTGTGGAGCATCAAGAGTAAGTGATATGTTTTGGGAACTGTAGTTGGGGGGGGGGGGGGGGGGGGGCTTGGCCTTCTTCCCTTCCCTTGTAAGGAAAGTTCTGGATAGGCCACCATAAATGTCTCCGCTATGGAATAAATAACTGATTTAGTGATTAATAAAATATAATTAGATTTACTACTAGCCTATTGTGTAGGCCTACTATTTGTCCTATGACTGTAGCTGGAAACATGAAAAAGCCTGAAAACACCTTTTTGTTTAAAGTAATTTATACTTGATAGTATATTTTGAACATTAATTCTATTGAATGAAATATTCGTTGTTTGTGCCACAATGGTTGAGATATCCAATGATGAAGATGCCATACTGTGGTTCTCAACATCATATAGGACAACTTAACTGTCCTTTAGTGCTACTATATGCATATAAAATAAAAAAATAATGAGAAATACTACTAGTACTACTTACACTTACAACTAATATAACATTTAAAACTAAGTCACAACATGTACAATCTTACTAAATTGCACCACCATCTAAAAATTGATCTGGTACATTTTATTAAGGAGACTGGCGCAGACCATTTCACATTATTCAGCAGGGGAATCAGAATCAAATTGCACAACAGAAAATTAAAAATTAATCACATTAGTCCTTAAAATTTAGTGTCTTTTGTTTTAAATAAATTGATAAAAATGTATAGTTATTATAATTATAAGTTTCTTTTGTGTTTCAATAATATTTTATAAGTATTTAACCTTCGTTCCCTGTAAAAAATTGAGTTCGTCCAGATAGTAACCAGGAATGTCTGGTGGCCATTTTGAATTTGTCAATTCATAATTTTGACGCGATAGTCCAGATAAACTGTAGTAATACGACCCTATCATTAATCCCATTCGATAGATTTTATAGAATAAGTAAACACTAGCATCTAATAGTTAAGTGCTTCCATATTTTAAGTCCCTAGAATGTCCTGAATTAAATAGCTTCACGTTTAAACACACCATGTGTACAAGCGTAGTTCACACGCTAAAACAGTGGACAAGTAGCGTTCAAATTTACATTAATAACGTGTGCTAATTAAACCAAACTGACATTCAAACTTAAAATTCATTTATTAAAATGGAAATGAAACTTTAAAAACAATACTTACAACTTGTTTGAAGGCTCTAGCAAGGGTAAAATCCGTTTAGCATCATCGGTCGTCAACCTTTAAAACCGTTCTTCGAGCAACTGACTCGGGGCTGAAAGTTGACTCGAGGGTTATATGCTTATTGAGGGTACGGCTTCGCGACCGTAAATCAGAAAGACTTGAATTTACAACACAAAGTAGTTATAAAAGTGAACTTTACATCGGTGTAAAGATTGAAACAGAATTAGTTTGTTTTCGTGTATATATCGTCATTTAAAGTTTAAAAACTGATTTTTTAAAATGAAATAAGCAAAGTATTTTTTTCAATTTATACATCAAACTAGAATTCGCTCTTTAAAATGACATTAAGATTATGCTTCTACGATGCTTCGTCGCGAAGCCGCAACCAAATGAAACAGTGTGGGGTCGATCGGTACACGCAAAACGGTGAAATTTGTTGACGTAACTGATACTTTTCAAACAAATATAAAACACATTCAAACATGTGTTACAGAAATAAAAATACCAGATTACGACAGATAAAGGCTTAAGCTTTATTGACATATAATTTTTATTCTTATAGGACAACTAGAAGTAGTGAAATTTTATTTTTGAAAACCGCAAAAACTGACCCTAAGAAGCACTTTTTCGCCAGTTTGGACTACCTACTTTTAGTATTGACAAAAAAAAAAAATGAATAATTTGAAAACAATACATCAAACTCAAGTCATTTAATACCTCTGCCTTGAAAAGAAAAATTATAAAAAACCATTATAGCGATATTTTTTTACCTAAAAAACATTGTTTACTTACAGATAACAGAAGTTTTACAGAATTTGGGTCGTATGTCAAGGCATGGAAACACCTAGTTCAAGAACACAAAACAATTTCCAAACTGGCACATGGCCAAAGCTTTTTAGCCTTGTATTGTTTTGCTTATCTGGCCAAGTTTAAAAAAAAATTGATCAGCTTTTGTGCAACATCATGTACACATTTCTTGTATGCCTAAACAAAACCATTGAAAATCTTTGAGATTTTATTATCATAAAGAAATATCACAACTTGGGTGTGTATATTGCTGTGAAGGTCACAAATGGGTAAAATTAGTAGGCCTTATATAACCAAAAACCCATAAAGGAAAGAACCAAAAGGCCTAGATTGTTATTGAGAGACTATGGCAGCTTTGAGTTCAGACATGGAGAAAGAAGACAGCAGATAATCCTGTGTGGAGAATGGTGTTGAAGCAGAAGAAAGCCTTCCATGGGCTGGCTGTAGAGCCACAGAAATGGATAATTAATTAATTAATTAGGGCTTGGAAGTTAAGTGGAAACCACATTATTATAAATGGTGGTAATTTATTTTAATATGATTAATTTACCATACTGTCTCTTTTTTTTTTCAAAATGAAATAATTATATTAGATTAAATTATTTGATTTAAAATACAACTGCTTTATTATTGCATTGTATTTTTTATAAATTCACAATATATGCAGTTTTTTGTTAATATTGTTTTTTATTTTAAAAAAAGGTTATAATAGAAAAAAAAATATTGTAAAATACTATTTCTTTGGGGTGGGGGGGGGGGGAGATAATAAATTTGCAGCAGTTGTCTAAAAAGTAAAATGCTTAACCAGTCACTATTATGTTGTTTTAATGTTTGATTGCATAAATTGTGAATATATTTTCAAATGCTATGGGCTGTATTTAAATTTATTTTCTTTTACTTTTTTCTATTTGTGCTGCAACATTCCGATCACATTCCTAACTTCTTGACTATTATTAAAATGTAACAGAATCATGATGTTATAATAATGGTAATATTATTATTAATAAAGTAAACTTTTGTTGGCAAATTATGTTGTATGATTGTTTAATCATTTAAAGACAATACCAATTTAAATGTATCTGATCTAAAACGAAATTGAATAAAATCTGCAACTTCACAAGTTGTTTTAGCATGTTCTCCCCATATGTAAAGATTTATTTTATTTTTATATAAACAACTCGTTAGATTTTTTTAGTCCTCTTAAAATTAATTTTAATAGTCTAGTCTCTAAGCTAGAAATTATTTACTCAATGGTAGGATATATTTAATATTAACATTTAATGCATTTATATGTATTTTATTTTAAAGAATAACACAAGTGCCTTCACATGTATGTTTTTATTATCATTGTTAATATTACAATGTTGCTACCTTTTTTTTTACCTAAATTATAAGCAAGATAAGATCTTTATATATCTATGTAAATATATAGCATATAGTAAGTTTATATTGCAAGGATTTGTTTTAAAAATATGGAGCCTCATTGAAATCTGTTACTTAAGCAATGCAGATAGACAGAAAGGAGACGAATAGACTGACAGACCATTTATTTATTAAATTAGACACGCTGTGATTGACTGATATAAAAATAATAATAATAAAAACAACGAAGTTCCTGTAGTGTATAGTAAATATATTAGAATGTTATTGTTTGATCTTCATTTTTTTATTGCATCACATATTTTGCCAGTGCTTTTTGACAGCCCTGCAAATTTTGTAGTTTCAATAAATGCAGGAAAAAATTTTTTGTGAGTTCTTTTTGTTACGGTAAGGCTAAGGCATACACCATTTGGATGGAAGCCAAGTCAGAAGTTTGTTACATTAAGACTAGCTAGCAAAGACTAGCTCCAGATCTCTGGCTCAAGATGCGTTTGCGGCTCCTGTTTTCACCATTAGGTAAAAGTATATATTTTCTATTTCGTTCGGGGGAGGGCCGTTAGACTTTTTTTGGGGGGGGGGGGATGGTGGGGTCCGACTCCCCCGAAGAGATGCCTGGAAGAAACTCTGCTCACCCCCTTTACTTTTTTCACCACTGACTCCCCAGCCGACCAAACATGTTACATATTGTGACTACAGAGCTAACAGCAGTTGTTGGTGTCAGCCTAAATGGAAGGGGTGGGGGTGGGAAGGGGTGAAGCAGAAAACTTAAACACGCCGTTACCATGACATTCTTGGCACCGCCACTAAACAGTAAGTAGATCGTCACGTGGATGAAGAAAATGTCAGATCCAAATTCAGATTCAGAGTGGAATTTGTCTCTCGGGGCGAATTCCCAAAATTGTAGCCTACTGCCCCATACCCTATCAACCTTTAAGTTAATATGTGAGAGGTGCTCATGTATAACACACATGTGATAATGTGACACATCTCGATCCAAAAACATTACCACCGACCCTCATACAACGTGCACACAGTCAGTGCCGGCGCCAGATTATTTAGCGCCCTATGCAAAACTTATTAAAACGCCCCCTTTCACACAAATTAATTACTAAAACATATGCTTAAGAAAAAAATTAATTAAAAGTGACATATTAATTTATTATCAATTGCACACACGTTATAAGTAGACATCAAAATCAAATTTTACTTTGTATACGTATGTATGTAAACGTACACGTCCATTTACGCGTACATGTACGCAGGAATTTGAAATTAATGTAAAGTTAGGCAACCAACTATCTCCCATTTCAAAATCCAAATACCCAAATTTTATTCAAGGGAAATAACTTTCACAAGAGTAGCTAAATTAAGCAAGTGTAACTCAGGGGCGGAACTACAGTGCCGCCAGACCCCGCAATGCGGGGGGGGGGGGGGGGGGGGGGCCCAGACCGATTGGGGGCCCAAAAATCCTTGCTAAATTATTTTTAAAAATTAAAAAAAAAAATTAGGCGGAGGTCGAGTTATCTTTCTTCTACAGTTACAAACACGATAGTCGGCAAACGTCTTTGAGAAAAATGCACAGACTATAGCTCGAGAGACCGCCAGACATATAATAGACAACTTCAAAGACGTAGCCTATCGTTCTTTTTTGTGGCGTCGATTAGGAGAACAAAAAAGTATTGTTATATTGTTTACATTATTAAAATACATATCTATGATTGTGTGTTTAAACTACTGGCCTGAATTCTACAAAAATATAATTATTTATTTCTATTTCATACATTTATAATTGCGTTAATTTTTACTTTAACAACCGTATCAATAAACTTGTAAAAGTTTAAGTTATCTCCCTTCAGCGAAGTATCTGAAATTTGACTGCCGGCACGCTTTGAAATCGGGCTGGGGAAATGTTGCGGCGACTATCCTGGTCTTCTAGACGACCGGAAAAAGTCGACACTATTGATGTAGATGTTTATCGGCGCTTTCTTGTCCCCTTCCAATGAACCTTCCCAACTCTCTCCCCTCCCCCCTCTCTCCCCTCCCCCCCTCTCACCCCTACCCTTCACCTCTACCCCTCACCACACCCTTACTCTTACAATAAGATGTAATGCATAGATTAACGAACTACTGAACTTTAAACTGACCACTTCTGCACATTTTGTTAAAGACACTAGTCAGTAGTTGTTCATTTACCTGATGAACAGGGGCGGAACTACAGTCCGGCCAGACCCCCCCCCCAATTTGCGGGGGGGGGGGGGGGGGGGACGGGACAGCCCACGGCTGACCAAAATTAATATTTAAAAAAAATTTGAATTTAATTTTCGTGCATTTTTGCCTTAATATTTGGTTTGTAAAAGAAAATCACTGTAGCTGCGGTACGATTATCTTTATTTTACAGTCACTATACCACGCTCTTCCGCAAATGATAAAATCCATTACACAAACTACAGTGTAAAATATAGGCAACTCTTCAAATTTGAATGACTTCTTTGACTCGTTGCCCCCCCCCCCTTTGATAGCTAAATAGAGAACACGTAACTGTTTGACCGATCCTCCAAAGTGTACTGTGGCGGATGGGGCAGGAGATGGGGACCAAAAAGGGGGTTCAAAAATTGTCCACACATTTTTTTTACATATTTAAAACAGTTATTTATAGTTGTATTTTTAAACCATCGCCAAGGCCGAGTTCCATTTCCCTACAATCAAACACACGCTGTCGCCGGCAAAATTCTTTTAAAAAAACAACAAAGTCCATAGCACGAAAAGCCGCTACATATGAAGTGGGCTTTCTTCTTTGCGGCATTGGTAAGGGACCCGAAATCCATTGTACATTTTTCAATGTTAATATGTGTTTGTGATAGTGGTTGAATTTGTATCCTGTACTATCTTGTATCCTACAAATAATAAAAAAATAATATAATACTAGAAACTTCAGTTTTATATACGTTTACTTGTTTTTGCTTTTACAAGAAATATCATAGTAAACTTTTAAGGCCTTTACTTGGAATTATCTCCCCTGAGTAAGTTTTCCAATGGGCGATGCTGACGTACATAGATCAAGGCGTTTTGTTGTCTCTTTTAAGTTTTTTTCCCGAGCCGACCCCTATTCCATCCCTCTTTCTCAACCTCACAAGTATCGAGGAGATAAATGTATCGTTTATGAGCTACTTCCTAACCGTACGATTCACCACTTCAGCACATTTTGTCAGACACTAGACAGCACTAGATCTAGTCAACAGATATTAATTTACTTTCATAGTATTAGGCACATCTAATTCACAAAACAGGGCAGGTAAGATTATTTTTATATAATTTAGAAATTAATTAGAACATTTAGAATTAATTTAACATTATTAATAGTCAATTACTATTTATAAATGACGTCATTGAGGTGGGGGTGTGTGAGGGTCTGGCTTTTTGTTAGTCCCCCCCTCCCCTAAATCAGAAGGTTATCCAACGCGTGACCTGGCCACATACAGTTGTACATGTGAAAAACATTTTTCTGTCTATTATGCATTACTGCATCATTCACCCAATCGCCATGAAAACTTGGGAAGCTGTTGAGTACAGCCCCGCAAAGGTTTCTGTCATAGGCCTAACATTTGTACATATTGGAGTGGGGACTCCTAACGGAAATATGTGATTTAGCGCCCCATGATCCTGCATAAGCGGATGTGGGAGGGGGGGGGGAGCTCTGCCGAAAGAAACAATGTGTTGCACCCATCACCCGTGCAGTAATGTAACCGGTAGCTCCAAGAGCCCCGTAACTCCCCCTGACACCTGGGCCGTCGCCGAGGGACTTACAGCATGCCTTGGCGTGTAAGTTGGTAGTATGGACAAACCCGCGCCCTAAGATCCAAGAAATGAACTGCCGAC